GTAGAAAACAGTCTGAGTGGTATACAGATGAAACACTCTGCAATCATTGTATTACCAGTTTTGTGGGTAAAGTTTGTCCTTTTTTCTAACCTTTATATCATCCTTATTATTATCTAGAATACCAGCTTGCTCAAGAGGACTCAAAGGAGTCTGAATCCATTACCCCTGTGCACAGGTGCATTCCTACCCTCAGGTAAAAAAAAATTAAGCATTTCACGCAAAGCTCAACAGCAGATGGAATTGATTTCTTGTAATAACTATGATTTCTTTTTATTAAGTGTACAGTGAGTTCAAATATTTGGGGTTAGTAAGACTTTTCAGCATGGACACAAAATTATCACAAATGACAGTATAGACATGTATATATACTGTTATAAAAGATTTCTATTTTAAATAAATGCTGGTTTTTTTACTTTCTATTCGTCAAAGAATAGAAACAATTTTACTGTTTTTACTGTTTGTTGATGAAGTAAACCAGCATTAGAGACTTTCAAAAACAATACAAAATCTTACCAACCCAAAACTTTTGAAAGGTAGTGTATTTTGTCTGTTGAGTCCTTTGCAAATAAAAATAACAATAGTGACTTCCTTCGGCTGAGTCTGTGCTTTGGTTTATTTGTTTGATCAGTTGTTTGCCAGACCTTGCTGAGATTGCGGACCTCTCCAGCATATCCTGTTCACCGGCCCAGCACCAAAAGTGGCTGGGGTCTGCTGAAGCCCCGCCAATCCCTCACAGCAGAGGACATCCACCCTGCAACAGCACCCCACGCAGCCCAAAAGGTATGATGTGAATCAGAAAAATATAACGTGCATGGTACTTAGGCTTCACTTTTAGGATTAATCAAAATTCAGAGTACATTCTGTGTGCCAGTTTTATGTAATTGTGCACACTGTTTAATTACAGGTCGTAGGACTCTTCAAGATGTGCAGATTGGCTCTGAGCCCCTCCCTCACCTCCAGAGCCTATTGGATACATCACCATGGGGCAGTGCTCCATCCCACACTGTCTGCACAGAGAGTTACGCCACAGCCAGCGCAGGAGACAGCAGCAATGTCAGTCAATCATATTTGAATAATACATTTCTGAAATATATCAATGGTCATATGGCTATCGGACGATATGTGTTTTTATAATGTTATCTGTATCAATCACCGGAAAAAACACCGGCAATAGTTTCACTTTGTAATGTCATTATTTCATATAACAGTAAGAGAGAATAATAATACAGAACTTAACTTTTAATTAAAATAAAAAAAAAACATTTAAATATTTCAGTGATGCTTTGGATGAACGATATATAAAAGCGCAAATATATAACTGCTTTTGACAGCGCCTCAGTCACAAGCTCAGCTTCTTGTTGGTCTTTTCACCAGAACACGCACAGCAGGGGAGAGGCGCATTCACAATAGCAGCTTGAGTTTCGGTTCGCTCAAGAGGTGCTTTTCTACGGCGAGAGACTTCTATGTTTGGCTTGTTCCAACAGTGAAAAGTCAACGGTCTGAAGAAGAACGATTCAGTGTAATTGCAGTTGGATGCTGCTTTATTAAGACAGAGCGCTGACCGCTATTCACACACTTGAATGTCGTTGCAACGGCTGTTTTTTCTTCTCTGTTTCTGCTGATCTCTTGCGCCCCCCTTGCAGTACCTTGCACCCTCCACACTTTGAGAACCACTGCCTTACTCGGCTTTCATTGTCAATTGCGCTCGTTCCTGTTGCGTGTCTCACACTGGCAACCCGCGTGAGCGTCGTGTCTGAGGAGGAGGGTGCAGGGGAACAACGATCTCCGATATTTTGAATTTGGACTGCAGTACCTATTTCGACCACTCATTCTTACAGACTGCACCTTTAAATGAACACTCCAGATTATTAATACTAGTTGGCCTGACTAATGTTAAACATAAATAAAATGTCTACTCAGAGCCTGTTTATTGTCCAGGACACACATGCATTTTGGTTCTATAATCTTTGTTATCTTTGTGTCATTTTATTGCATAAAAGAAGAACGTTGGCTATAGGTGTGTATCATGTCATTCATTATTTTTTATTAACCTTTATGTAATAATTATTATTAATATTATTACCAATTTAGACTTAATGTGAGTGTTTTTTTTTGTAATCAGTCTCTAAATGTAGAATGGTAATATCTAATTAACCTATATTTCAGTTATTGGCTTCAAAATATTATAAATTATCAGTTATCAGCCAAAATATCTACGTCAGTGCATCTCTAATTTTTCTAATATGTGCTTTTAAATCTCATGTTGACTACCGGGAGAATATGATAGCACACTCTAGCCATCAAATATCTTCAATATTGACATCTTCAATGCATGTTTTGGCAGCTTGAGTTCACTCAAAAAGTTTTATTGACTTAACTAAAAATATTTTTATTATATACAAATGCTTATTGTTATTGTTTTGTTGTAGAAGCTTTCATCTGACAAAAGTAAATATTCCATTATCTTATATTTGCATCAATATATTCACAGCTGTTACATTTATAATGATATTCTGCATCTCTTTTCAGACGAATGCCTCTGTGTCTAGCGTCCTGCAGTCTCCATTGAAAAGAGAAATGTCTAAGGAGGAAACAGACTCTCCCTCTAGCGGAAATGCAGAGTTCACCACTGCCAGCTCTGGAGCAAGACAGACCACTGAGACTAGCCAGGAGACCAGTGAAGAGATGGGGCATCCTTTTGACAGTGTGCATTTATAATTCACTGCTATAGTGTTCCAAAAATTAATTATGGGAGGTATTGTTAAAGTATTATTTTAGTGATCGCTATGGTGTGAGAATCAAACTGTTTGTGATTCCTGTAGAGAATAATGATGTGGATGAGGAAGTAGGTGACGACCTGTCTGATTCTAAACATCAAGAGTCCTCTGATGAAAAGGTGTTTGAAGATGAAGGCATCTCAAAGAGGAAGGAAGAGTGTAAGGGTGAAAACCCGTGTCAGATACACCGTGAGACGGATCTACATTGGGACTGTTATTTTAATTTTTAAAAGGAATTAAAAAGATGTACGTTTGTATTTTCAGACCAGCATCCAGATCTTAACTCTGCTGATATGGAAAGTAATGCAAACTCTCAAAAGAGCAATAAGAGTCACAGCCTTGATGACACCGAGAGGTAAAACCCAATACTTTGCCTTAGTGAGGGGTATTTCATTATTGGTTGATAACTTTCAGACAGTGTTGATACAAAATATAATAATATTTAACACGACATTGCCCTCAAAAATGAGGGTCTATTTACACTTCATGTGTCTTTATAACTCGGATAGTTATCCACTTAGGTATACATATTTTATTTACACTTGTAAATGAAACAGAAATTGTCTGCATGGAAAGTCTGCATGAACTTGAAATTGCAACCGGATTTTCCCCCCTATTGTTACGTATATCCAAGTGAAACAAGAAAAAACATTACTATTTTGATAAGAGATTATGAGCACAAAATAAAATAAAAAATACAAATATGTGCATGGATAAATTGCATTTAGAAAAATAAGAATTGTAAATTTTGATTTCATTGTTTTAAAATGAATCAGAATAGTACATTAAAAGTCTACAACAGTAAGGGGTGGATATGTATGTATTATTTCTTTATGTACAAAATTTTGGAAGGAGTTCAGTCTAAAATCTTGCTGACAGCTATTTTAATTGAATGTTTTGTTCATGTTATTAGGTCCTATTATGTTTTTCCCTCTCCTAAAAAAAAAGAAAGAAAAAAAGAAGATACTTCTACTTTGAAATCTTGCAGAGCAAGTTCCACCTTTGATGAGGATCTGGAAAGAATGCTTTCAGAAAGAGCCCCTAGACAGAGAACCCCTGAAATAAAAGGAGAGGGGGATGTGAGGGACTTGGGCTGTCCAGAAAGAGACTACATAGAGACCGCAGGTGAGTGGAAAGAAGTTATGGGGTCTTTTTTGGCCTTCTTTAAAGGTTCAGCAAATAAGCTCAAACGCCCACTGTAGTGTTTAACTGGTTGAAGCCCTGTTGATTCTCTCTGTAGAAGGCATAAATGAGCTGGGAGAGTGGATTGAGGCAGCTAATCAGGAGAACCATCCTAACAGGTGCACAAGAAGCCTAAAATAAAATGCATTTGACCCCAGGAATACAGTGCTAGTGTAAAACTTACTGCTTAGAATAGAAATATTGAAATTACCATTGACTTTTAAACACTTCAGCCTTAGAAATTAATGTTTTACAAGTAACTTGCTAACTAAAACTAGCTAACTTTCCTGCCCCAAAATTCATTTTTGTAATTTCATTGTTTGTTTGTTTTATCATCAGAGTTCTTGAGCATACACCTCCAGAGTCAGTCAAACCACACTGTTAAAGAGGAGCCGATCTCTTGGATTTCCTCAAGGTCTCTTGCATCTGAATCGTTTCCATTTTAGATGCTTAAGGCATGTGGTTTGTGTTCCTTTATGTTGAATTTACTGTTGAAGGAAAAAGATCTTTCCAAATAAAAGCCCTTAGCTTTTAAACTTGTTCTTAACATATGCATATCTTCGAGTTCTAGCGTTGATGTTACAATTTACTAGCAGATGATGTTGTTCAAGGTAATATATATTTTTTAAATGATTTTGACATTCCGTTTGATGTTGCTACAAAAAGGTATTGCTATTTGTCGTGTTATGATTAGTAAAGCTTCTAAATAAAAGAACACGTATATATACACACACATCTATAAATAAAAGACATTTTATTGCATACAAAAAAAATGTATTTACTGAATCTTACATTCAAATACAGTCTCCTTTGCTTTACTGAGATCTTGACGATCTAAAGTTACATAAACACCTGTTTAACTTTACAAAAAATATAAACTCTTCTGCTGTACAGTTTCTTTCTTGTACAAATCTAATGGTTTCCAGGTCATGATGTAATTTAATACAGCAGCATAATGCTGAAGAAATTAAGTTTATTCCTTAAAAAGACTGATAAAAGTTAGTTTATTTTGTATGCAATCCCAATTAATGGATATACTGAACTTTATGGACAAATGTTTCTGAAATGTTGTCTAGTTCGCCATCATTCAAGTGTGTGTAGAGGGGTTTTACTATGGAATGGAATATACTACAAGAGGAAGTAACTCGAGGCTTTACGCATTTTGATGGGGTTGCATCTATTTTGTCCCGGTTTCTCAGTCTTTTGCCAGCAATGACACAAGTCCTTTCTTATCCAGCTCAATGAGTTTAAGGTGTTGTAAGGTCTTCATTGCAGAATCACTGACTTTCATGTTTAACTTCTTCATTCTCTGAGTGCTTATCGGCCCTCTAAAGTGACAAGAATGAAAAGACTTAGATCAAAAGAATTAAGGTTGCCTTAAACTTCACTACATTGTGAATCATGTTAGGGCTCAGGGTTAAATATGACCAGACAAACCTGTTTTTATCTGAGAAGTACTCGGATAACTGTTTATTGAGCATGTTGAGGTCATTCAGCTTCAAGTTACCACGTACACTCCGCGGGACAGTCTCAAATGTCCCCTCAGACACCTCTTCATGCATGTTCCGTGCTGCAAGACAGACAAAATAACTATATATTACAATTATTGAGACTGATAAAGATGCTGTTCACCTTTGACATTGTGAAAATGTTACAGCTGCTTTATTATGTTGATGGTTTTCTTCTGTCTTTACATTCAGACTGTGCTTGAGTTTGAGGTTCTGATATCGGCATGGCCTAAAGAAACAGAAATGCATTAATAAATAGCTAAAAAAGAAGCTTTCGCCTCATAGGACCACAAATATTAACATTTTAATAGGTACAGAGACATACAATACTGTTTAAAAGTTAGAAATGTATACTGTTATTCAGCAAGGACACATTCAATTGATCAAAAGTGACAAAGATATTTGTGTTACCAAAGTTTTGAATTTCAAATAAAGTTTCCACGAAAATATATAGCAACACAACTGTTTTCAGCATTGATTTTTGTAATCAGCTTTGCCATTACAGGAATAAATTACAATGTAAACTATATTAAAATTGAAAACAGTAATTTTACAACATTACTGGTTTTACCGTATTTTTGATATTTTTGAATAAATGCAGCCATTAGAGACTTCTTTGAAAAACTTTTTTTTTTAATCTTACCAACCCCAAACTTTTGAACAGTAGTGTAGTTGTGTAATTATGATAAAAATCATTTTTTAACAAAACTGTCTAACCTCAACATTTAAAGCAGCAATGGATGAGCAGAGAGCATCTCTCGCTTCTTGTTCTTCTTCTGTCAGTGGAGGAACCTTGAACACCAGAATTCCCATTAGCACACAGAGTCTGAACCACAAACATCATGGAACTACTTTATTTTTCAAAGAACACCCCCTTTACCATGGTAAAATCATTGTGTATGGCCTCTAGTGTAGTAACATTGACAAGGACCCTTTGGCTTTGTTAGACTTGTGCTCTTGTTGCACTAATGAATGAATACCTGCACATCTGCTGTGTTCTGCAGCTGTTGAACCAGCTGTACTGTCGTGTCCAAATGAGCTCGTATGGAGTCCATGGATCGTTTCTGTTCTGCTGCGATCTCCTCCACTTGAGTGCACAGGGCCGAATGGCGTGCTTTGATCGCCGACAGGTTCTCCAGCAACTGAACAGGGTTTCCCTGAAATCCACAACCACAGATTTAGAAAAACAGAATCGGTCATTATTTAAAATGAATAAATATATACAAACTTACCTCAAACGAGCCCGCTTCACGCACATTTGCCATGAAGTCAAATTTCAGCCGCTTTTCCACATATTCTATATCAGCTTCTGCTTTCTGGAACTACAAGGACATGGATCTAAACACCATCATTCAGTAAGCATTCAGAAAATTTGAGTCAGGAGTTGATTGCCATTCATAGGCTTTAGCATTTATTGGCTCATCTGAACGAGGGTACGATCTAAAACCTGAAACCCTATTAGCAATATTGCACTACTCTGAACACAGTGGACAGCAGAGTCAATACTGATAGGGTCCCAAGAATTAGGATTAGACATTACGACCTGTAAAACAGAAAACAAACAACTATATGCCAACTGAGATGGTGGACCTCTTTGAAAAGTTGTAAACATTGTGCAAAGCTGTTTTCAGATGCTTTGACAATACTATTGCACTGCTAGCTGTCCAATACAGTAGTGCAATGAAGTCAGAGCACCTGTTAACAGCAATTGATGTGACTGGCCACGATGTTGACCCTACCTTTGAGAAAAATCCCTGGCCAATGCCCTTTTAACATTGCACTGCTTTAATAACTGGGTTATCAGTAGTACAATATAAAAGGGGCACTGGACAGACAGTACGCATTCAGGGTGGTCCTTCTGCATGCTGAAATATCCAACAATCATGTAAATAATGCCAATTAAAAGCCTGGGAAGAACACAGTTTTAACATAAACATTAGAAAACAAACACTATAGTGCTGAGATCCAGATATGTAGATATGGGCAATAATTTTAAAAGTGAGTGTTTAATTGCTATGGTATTTAGTTCATTAAAGCTACTTTGCATCTATTTCTTATTTATTTATTACGCAACATCCATAATTATTCATAATATATATATATATATATATATATATATATATATATATATATATATATACACACATACAATTTCTGGCAAGCTAATACTGCGCCCCCTATCGTTTCCTCGTACTAATGATATTTAAACATGCAAATATAAAATTAATACAGGTTTAAGGTTTTACTAAAATCATTGAATAACAAAAATGACTTATGAGATTTTGCAGGCAATTGTCAGAATTGTCAGAATCTTCACAGACTAAACGTTTACAAAGATCTGTGCGTCGTCCAGAAGCAATGGACACATTTTATATTAATTTTATCAGTTAATAACAACTGCGACATTAACTTGATGTATATAAGCCGGAACAGTTTATACGTGTATAAAAACCTTATTGAATAATGTATAGGAGTAAGTTCGGGCTGCAGCGCACAGTTTGGCGGACAGACGCACAGGCCCTCCCGCACCAGCACTCCCCTCACTACCGACCAGCTATCGAACCAAATAAACATTTTCAGGCTGAATGCCAAGGATTCGTTTCAAAATATACGCATTACAGTAATTTAATTACATGAAGACTGATATTGCAGTAAATATTAGTAAATCATGTAATTAGCTGTTGCACTAGTTAGCCATCCAGCTACATGTTTTTCGTAATTTTCTCCCCTCCAACCTGAGGGAAAGACAGAGGAATATAGAGAACATGTAATTTTTCATGTTTTATTCTGCATTACGTCGTCTAATGCAAAGGCACCGGTATTATTAACAAATAGACGGATCCGTCACTTTACAAGGGAAAACATTTGATGGAAACGTTTGCCTGAAAAAACAGCTTACCATCGCCTCCAGCTTATCAACTGTCTCCATGTTGAATAGTTTACATTCCTAAAGCAGCCCCGGAAATATAAAGCTCGCAGCAGAACGCAAGACCTTCTCTGATTGGTCAGCTGTCAGAGAGCGTGGAAGGTGATTGGTCAGTTTGGAAGGAGAAAGAGCGGAAAGGGGGTGGTATATTCGGGATGGAATTCTAACGTACTGTTTTGTACGTACTACAGTATATCTATACTGCGCATACTATTTATGCTTGTTGCATAAACAGAACGTTCGATATTTCCGGGTTGTAACGGTAGGCCGCACGACTTCCGGTTACTCCTGTCAGAGCGAGTCTGACAGCGAGCAGCTGCTTGTCAGAGCGAGAACGCTAACGTTAACTTTAGTTAGTCAACGAGGAAGATGGCATTTTACACACGATGCTTGCAGGACCTGCCAAGGACTACCGTTAACGATGTACATAGGATTATACAATCCTCAACATCAGCCCCAAAGAGCAAGCGGGAGAAGGGGTTTAAAATGTATATTTCCAGCTACATTGACCATTACGAAGGTAAGTTAATTTACTATGCTTTGTTTTAGTCTAGTAGCCTAGCCTATGAGCTATCTTGCTAACCGGTAACGTTAAACATTGAATGAGCCTGATGAATATTATATTGTTTTAATTGTTTTGATCATAACATGATATTATTCTTAACTCAGTGTCAAACAAAGAGCCAGAGACAGGGAGAGTGAGCGTCCGCGCTACCTGCCATAGGTCACTGAGGAAGAATGAGAAACCTCACGACCTCAGAGTAGGATCTAAGATAGTTCAGTTGTTCCAGCCAGTTCTGCTCCAAACATGTCCTGGGGATTTTGTGTTGCTAGGATAGGTTCTGTATCAGTAACATAGGCAGAAAATAGCACTCGGATATCTAACCTAGCCCCCATGAAAACTCCAGGAACTGCTTGTGACGGCTGTTGTTTATTATAAGTTAAGTTTAAGTTAAGTTTGTATGGTAAGTTAAGTTGTAAGTTTGTTGGAGTTTCAGTTATCTGTATGTTCAGTATTCATGTAACGTTTTTGACTTGTAATAGCCTACTAACATCTCACATATGTAATACTAACATATTTTAATGTTTATAAAAACAGAACTAAAAACGACCTTTTTTGGTCATTTGTTAACTAATATGATATGGTTAAGCCTACCATGACTAACAATCTGAAATGTTGATTTTGTTCCATTTCCTGTGCCTGTACTATATTTAAGATGGCAATGGTTATTGGTAATGTTTTTTTTTTTTGTTTTTTTTAAGATTACACTTGAGCACTCATTCCCGGTGCAACTGTATGAGGCTGTGTGTTCATGTGTGGCTGGTAAGGCACTGTGCAATCACAATGTTGCACTGCTCTATCAGACAGCACACTTCTCGCAGCTTCAGATCAGTGCTGTACCCCCTGTCCTTAGTTGCACTGAAACAGAGCAACGCTGGCACAAGCCAAGGTCTATGGTAAGTCTGAGAGCATTATTTACCACACTGTTTCATAGTGTAGTCAGTCAGCTGAATTGGTATGTGTGCAAAGCTTGCTTTCATTAAAGACCATTACTATCAACAGGGTGTGAAGCCAGGCCGGGTCAGAGACATGGTCGTGTTGGCAGCCAAACCCAAGCAAAAGACGGTTGGAAATGGTGTAAGGTAATAATGTTTTATGTTATTTCTATAATTTAGATAAAACATGATTTAAATATGAAAATAAACACATCTGAAACACAGCATGTTACCATGTACACAGGAGCACACTTTACAAAGCACTGAGGGGAGAACTGCCAGATGTGGACATGCTCAAAGTGGCTGAGGTGTATAGTGATTTCCCTGCGACCTTGGCACCACTCATCACCACCATGGCCATTAGTTCTGATGTTCCGTTAGTCCAGTCAGCACTAGGGGAAGTGCAGGAGGGAAGTGCCATCGCCTCTCAGCACCCAGTAGCACCCACCAGGACCATCCAGTTGCACTCAGATGCACCTCCACCTCCACTTCTGCCGTTGGCTGATTACAGGTTGGAGCCTACAACCTGTCAATTTGTTTGCAGTGAACAACAACAACTTCATCTGGTCTCCCTCCAGACAAGTATTGAAATGGCCAGACAGGTGGAGGCTTCCACACGGGACCAGAGCTTGTCTGCAGAGTGGCATCAGGTTCGTCGACCACGAATAACGTCCTCACACTTTAGAGAGTTGTGCCATGTTCGAGGTGAGAGTACAGCACAGCAGCTCGCTCAGAGGATTTGGAAGGGCACTGTTCAAACTGCTGCCATGAAGAGGGGCCTGGTACTTGAACCTGTTGCCATTGAGGAGTACTGCAGGATCAAGAACACAAACTATTGGCCTTGTGGGTTTATCATCCACCCTGATGCCCCCTGGTTAGGGTCTTCTCCTGACGGGGTTGTATTTGACCCAACCGAAAACCCTCCCTATGGTTTGGTTGAGATTAAATGTCCAAATTGCAAGAGCTATGTTGATTGCAAGTACTTGAAGTTGCATGGCAACACAATGCAATTAAAACGGCAGCACAGCTACTACTGGCAGGTCCAAGGCCAGCTTCTAATAAGTGGAATGGAGTGGTGTGACTTTGTGGTGTTTGCAGAGGATGACATGGTCATCCAAAGAATCTACAAAGATGCAGAGGTTGCACAAATCATTAGGGAGAAGGGGGATCACTTCTTTTTTTATTTTTACATGGCTGTGTGTTTGAAATAGATACTGTTACTATTTACTGTTACTCTTAGAATAATTTACAGTAAATCAGTTCTATTTTTGTATGTATTTATTAAATTGTGAATGTTTGTAAACAAACAACATATCAGTTTAACCCTCATTTATGTTGTCACTTGTGATCTTTGGGGTCTTCAGATACCCCAGACAATAACATTTAATTTTGTAACAGGATTATAAAAATGTTTTTACAAATGCAATTTTACTCTGTTTGTTAATGTTTTTCCTCAACATTTGTGTAGTTTTGGGAGGATTTATAATATCTTGTAAATTTCTATGAATAGATTAAAAAATATTTATTTAAATAGGCTTTTAACAAAAAAACAACAACAGTATTTTATGCAAATTTCACTTTATAAAAGACCCAGATATCTAACTTTCATTCATGGGGATAACATGGATAATTTTAAATGGTTTAATGTAACATTTATGCCCATTTTTGAAAAATCAATTTAACCACTAGATGGCTATTGTCACATTCACTGTCTGTCTTCATCTGTACTACACTTCCCAGTATCCTCCGTCATCATCATCACCTGTTCATCATCGTTGTCATCCCCGCCTTCACCTGTGTTTCACTCATCATCGTCACCTGTTGTCTTTGTCATTATCTCTGTGTATTTAAGCTCCCCCTGTTTCTCTGTTCACTGGCCGGTTATTGTTTGTGTTCATACACACTTGTTTCGATTGTTGGATTGTTTGAATATTAAACTTTAAGTTTGCTGCCTGAAACATTACAGCTACATGGCTCCATTATACTATTTGACTACCTGAAAGATATATTTTCACAAGTTGGATTCATATCTAAATGTTATAAAATGTTTAAAAAAAATGTCAAAATTTAGCATTTTTTGTACAGAAAAAAACTACAAAAAAAACGTTTCTCAATAATTTTACATTATGCTTAGAATCAAATCTGAACAAAGTGTTACAAAGAGAAATGTTGGACTCTTAAGATGTTATTTATTTCAATCATCTATTACTAACTGTAACAGAACAAAAATGAACAGAAATGAACAATTATATTACATGTTGGGTAAAAATACATGACCATCAAAATGGAATGAACTGAACAGCAATAACAAATGAGCAAGTATGTGTGTGAGAGAGTGTGTGAGTGCATTTACAAAGATATATATAGATTTGTAAAAATGAACAATAACATCTCTACATTTGTGTATGTTTGTAAACATACAACATACAGTATCAGTTCAAGTTTTGTATAGATTCGTAAAAATTAACAATAAAACTTGAACAAAGAAATTGGAACTGATTGTAAACTGATTCATAAAAATTCTAGTCCATTCATTTCTGTGTTGCCCATGCCTTAACCAGTGGTCCATTCTGGTAATTCACCAAGAGACAAGCGACGGTGAACAACTGGTCAATGCTCCCACACACTGACAGAGGAATGACTTTATCAAACAGTTTGTTCTCTTTTACTCGCCTGATGCACCTCTCAACATGCACTCTCACACGGGCAATAGACTGTGTCTGCTGGACATCCTCTTTGGTCATCTGTTTGTTTCTTGCAAGGAAAGCAGGTCGGTAAACCTTTCCAGAGAAGAGATTGTCCACAAGAAAGCCTTTGTCAACCAGAAATGGCCATCTCTGGTGTGAGGAGTTTGGCTATTCCTGACTGCTTAAAAATTTCCCGGTCACTCATGGAACCTGCATACAGAGGTGACACAAAGGTGATGGGACCATGAGGTGCAATGCCAATCATGGCCTTGAAAGTGGTGTGTGACTTGTATGGGGAGTAGACTTCGCTGTGCAAAAGAAGAGAAGAGGGAGTTTGGCAAAAGATTTCTGTGCAGTCAAGCACCACTTGTGTGTCTGGGAACAAAGCAAACTCAGGTGGTAGATGAGCCTTTAATTCCTCTGGTGGTATCCACAGGCGGATGGAACCCAGTAGATAATAGAGGAAATGTGTCCACGATGTAATTATTCTGCTTGCTGTGGTGGTATGGATGTTGAAGCGTTTGGCTAGGTCCCTCAAATGCAGGCCCACAGAAAGGTGCATCAAGAAAAGCAGTAACTCATCTATCGGTGCTAGTCTCTGTTAAAAAACAAAAACACACAACACACTAGAAATCACTTGTACTGTAGTATTAATGTGTGTTGCCCTAACAAATCATCTGAAAACACCCTTGATTAATAATGGAGCCTTTGACAGTCAAGATATGTCAAGTAAACTGTAACAAATGTTAAGACTAACAACATAACTTACTGATGGTCTCAGAAGGCTAGGTTCTTTGGAGGCAGCATGGACACTGGTGATCCGTACCATTTTAGTTGTTGCAGCAGGCTCCACCAATTGCCAAAAGGCCTGGAAATGCTTGTATGATGCAAATCTGCAATGAAATTATAATCACTTTAGAACTTTATGTT